ATTGTTAAGGTATTCTGTAGAGGGAATTCTTGCTCCTTATTAAAGCCACTGACTGAAATCTGTTTCTCTCTGATTACCAAGGGAATATAATCCAGGAAAGAAAAAAAGACAGGTGTCCCAGTCTAATATTTTTGTAAACATGCTGATAACTGACTTCTTTAGGCTAAAGATATGTGCTATCAGGCGAGTCCTTATCTGTGGAATTCTCTTAGCAAGATTGTCCCTGGAATCTATGGATTTATAAGGCATGGCCCTGGGAGAAATGGTATATAAGGCCTCAACTAATTTAAATATAAAATGGGAATGGGCAACCCTTCTCTTACTATGTGAGATCAGTGAAAAATCTTACTAAAAGACCTCATCTATTACTGGCCAGAGAAGGTCTCCTATGCAGAAAGGAAACACCAAGATAGCCATATAGAATGAACTAGATTTCTTTCTAACTTGCCTGAGCCTTTGGTTATTTATATCCTTGAAATTATTAGTAAATCTAAGTAAGAACCCCTTACTTATTAGTAAATCTGGATAAGAGTCCTTAATTATAAGTCTAATTTGACAGTGAAATTCTTTCTGTTAGCTCTAGGATGCTAACATTTATATCTAAGATGGGAGGATATGACAATTTATACATATTTGCTTATATTAAAAAATGGAAGCATGAAGGGGGAAGGTATAACTCAGTGGTAGAGTGCATACTTAGCATGCACAAGGTCCTGGATTCAGTTCCCAGCACCTCCATTATAAAAAAAAATAAAATAAATAAATAGATAAATCTAATTACCCCCCCCAAAATCTTCAAAAATAAATTATTTCAAAAAATGGAAGCATGAATTATAATTTTTTTTAAATGGTTATCTATAGGGGTAGAGAAGTGATGGGTTGGAGGGAACCAGAATACAGGCCAGACTTCTCTGAGTATATCTTCATTTGTAGATTTGAATTTGAGACCTCTTAATATTTTAAATTATTTAAATTTTTTTAATTCCCCCAAAGTAAAAGGGGAATTAAACCAATGAACTTAATTGTGTATTGACTTCAGTGCATATTGACTTCAGTGCATAATACATAGACAGAAACTACTTTCAAGTGACTTTAAAGACAGGAATTGGACTGTATATTTTTGGTGGGATATACGCTAAGGTCAAAATGAATAGGAAAAATAAAAATACCCTTTAAACTCTTTCTAGTAATCATATACTTATTGATAGTGTTAACTTATTCAGTCTATTGTGTGCATTGTAGGAAAAAAACAAATGAGATTATGTTGAAATCACTGAAAACCAATTTGGGCCCTATTAAAAGGGAAACAGATGTAAAATGTATAATATTAAGTAGAAAGTATCAATATGAAGTCATGATGTATTTTTTTAAAAGGACTAGGAAAAAATAACCAACCCGTTGGCAATAGGCACTCTTAGTATTCAAATAGTGGTCTTTAAATATCATTTGCTACCCAGAGAAACCAAGATTCACTGGAGAAATGGCAAGCTCTATGTCTATAGCAGGCAATGTCCAAGATGAGCCCAGAACATCTTGTTAAACCAGAAAGCAAATAAGCTACTAAAGACTACAAAGGTCATATCAAAAGACTTGGGAACAAACTTAAAGAGATTCCACTAGCCAAAGACAGAACACACTGACCACCAATGACAAAACTGCAATGAATTGATATACATACAATATTTTTAAATCCATGAGCTCAGAAAGATATTTTTAAAAATCTCACTGGTCATCTTTGGAGATTGCTGGAGAATCAAGTATTCAGAAAATAGTTAAATCAAAGGAAAAAAATCAAGCATTTATCTTGTAAAAACAGTGCTTCTTGGAATCTAAATAGTTGAACTGGGATAATTCAACAGCTAAGAAATATGGAAGTAAAGATAAAATTAGATTATCATTTATGGATTTAGGCAATGTTCATCAGTGGCTTCTAACATCACAAAATGGAGACAATCAGACATAATGCATCTCTTGATAGAAGAATCTTGTAATACTGTCTACAAACTATTCTTACCAAAAATTGAACCTGGATGTCATCAAGTATCTAGATATAATTCACAGAAAATACAGGAGACAGATGGAAGCATGCGAATACAATTATCAAAATCCAGACTTCAGAGAACTGTAATTTTCATGAAATGAGTAACATATTTAGAATAGTGCCATAAATCACTGAGTATTTTCTCTTATGTTAGATTTTGTGGTTTGTCATTGTGAGGCTTATAAAACCCAGTCATTTCATATACGAAAAGGAAAGATGTCTTTGGATGAAGATGACCTAAAAGATGGTAGAGCAAGAAAACCACATATAAACTGAGCTAGAAACCTGATGACACAGTAAAAATGTCAACCTCTTTATCAAACTGCCAAGAAGTCTGCCATATCTCCTATTACCATTTAACCTAGGTTGAATTGAGCTAACTTTTACTTATAACTCAAAGCATACAGTAAAAAGGGACCACGTTCCAATGAATATATTTAAAATCTGAGGCTCTGTATCTTTGCAAGTGCTATCTACCTACCTACTTATCTATCTCATTAAATGTATAGAGTTGAAGAATAAAGTGGAAGACCATATTTCTTTCCTTAGTTTTTAAGCTGCATCAGAGACACATTTGAATATGAGGTTCCTCTCCAAATCTTTTTCAGTCACTAATCATTGAGAATCTTTTAGACATTAACTAGCTATGCAGAAGATAATATTGTGAATAACCAAACTGTTTAAAGCCTGTGTTCTGTAAACACTCAAAATTGATGGATTTTGAACTTTTGTGACTAGATCTAAAATATGAACAAAACTCTTGAAACAATATATATACTTAATGAATATGATACACTCTTTTATTTTCAATTCTATTTAATTATTTATGGTTACAACCTACTATTTGGATTCTATAATCTACTCCCTAGTAGGTTTGCAACCTGCAATTTGAAAAGTCACTGATAATAAGTTAACCTACTTTATTATTTTTGACAGAAGATAATCCTCTAAGAAAGGAAAACAGATACACTGTCACTGTTGCAAACAGTAAAATATTAAGAAGAGGAATGCAGATACTCACAACCTTGAGGTTTTCTACACAAGCAGATTAT